TCAAGGCCTGTCGGAAATGTTTATTGTATTTTCCCGAAAAAAATGCATAAATGTTCACAGGTATTTTCTAGAGCCTTTGACTTGAATGCAGCATTTACAGTTCATTCACAGTTCAGTGGGGACGTAAGTTGATACACTGTAACAATGTACGGCGTCGGTGGTCTGTCGTCGGAGCCAACTTAGCCAAAATAAAAATCATGCTCATTAGAACGCTGAAATTGCAGTATAATATTTCTAAAACCGATTGAATCTCATCGATGTGGTTGACGTATTGCAAGTCAAAAATAACGTACTTGTGTCGTATTTAGATGTTGAATTTCTCTCGCACAGAGATCAATCCATAAGTCCCCGTTTTCGCACAAAAAATGCAGCGGAATAACCATAGGGGCGATAGTTTCCCGAAAAGCAGAGAACCATTGACATACCATATAACCTAAGGTAGGTTTGGTAAACAGAGTGACTATTAAAAACGTAATTCGTTTGACGTTACGGAAGATGCGCTAATTAATTTACAATGAAGGTAGTTTTGTGCACAGACATATTGAGGTCATAAATTTTATTATGTCTGCTATCGGCAGTGAAAAGTCATATTATACTCTAAAAATCTAAATGTGGCAAACAAAAGTTCCTGGTATGAAAACACACTCCATGTTATTTGGCTGTGTATCTGTCTATATATAGATAAAGATTAACTAGAAACACATGTCAGTAAGGACCTTACCCATCTATTAGTGACAGCAGTACAGCGTTATATTTATAGTAGTGCAGCAGAAAATGATTTCATGTAAATGAAAAGTGTTCTGACATCCGCGGTTCGTGGATTCCACATCGTCCGATGCAGGAATCGGAATATTTTGCAGAAAAATGCGAAATATAAACCATATATATATATGCATATTCATCAGCATGTATATTGTTCTTGAAACATATCAGTGGACAGTGACTCTCAATGAACGACATCAGTGACACACAGAATTAAGTGTGAACAAATTTGGCCACCTTACAAGAATTTGACATCATCACAAGTGTAAAAACGAAAAATGGTGCGAAAGTAAGCATATTGAAAATGGCATCACGTAATTAGAAATAAAACTGCGTCTTAAATTTTAAAATCAGTAGTGTTACAAAGACAATATATATTGATGTAGAAAATAGATTCACGGACGGGATGTGAATCCCTGAGTGTTCCCTGGTTGCTATGTTTATTAAACGCGCTCACGACAGAAAAGACATACTGGGGCATGCTAGAAGTAGACAGCGGCTTCACATTCCCTTACTGATTGCCAATGTGATTGTCTTGTGGACTTTATAGATAGTGTTACTGACGCAAAATATCTGCCTGCCTTTGAACCCGAATCACCAAGCCCAAATAACAAATTGTGCGTCGTGCTCTCCCGGGAAGTTGCTTGGCTGTTAGATCATTGGCTGCAGTACTGCAACGCTATATATCGTTTTTTATCGACCTTCTCCCGTCATAGAAATAAGTTCAAATATGTACAGAACAGCGGCTACGCATTTAGTGGCAGCGATACATCACATAGCAACGATTATTGGAGTTTCTGGATTTTACAGCAAACACTCAATATTGACCCCAGATTATATTTTTAAAATAATTTAAGATGGATTGTACTATGAACGGCAAAAGTACACTATAATGCACAGAAACACGCAAACAATGGTACGAGGATTGGTTGAAACAATGCTGGTCAAATGTTCAATATGGCGAACATCTATTGGTCAGCCTGAATCGTTCCATACGCCGTCTATGAATACGAATAGCGGGTGGAAAGCGTCCCACATTCAAACGATTCAAAAAGGGCAACGATACCTTGTACGCGCTAGGCGTACGTATTCTAAAACTCGGAGTCTGAGCAGGGAGCAAAACCAACGAGTGAAAACATGTTACCACAGCGATGCGTGTTGTACTGCTTTTTTTTATTTCTGATTGCAATTTTACTAATAACTTATTTTAGCCAACATATTGATGTATTATTTCTAGTATCATATTGTTGAACTTCTCTCAGGTTTGCGACCCTTGTACGTTCAATATCCAAACGATCGAATGTACTCCAAACGTGCATTATTCAATACATATGGGGTTCAAACTGATACGTTTGAGCTTCTATTGTTATCCTTCATATTTTAGTGTCGACTGGTTTGTAGCCGTAGTAGTGTTAAAAAGTTCCAAAATATAACGACATCTCTGTGGGTCCTGGTTACCACATTACCAAGCACATAACAGAACTTCAATCCATCCATGGGTGACTCATAATGTACAGATGACTGTTGTTGCATAGACAAGTTCCTACACCCATAAAAGGATCATGGAGGTTGGTTCAAAACAACGTGAACATAATATGTCAAATTGAAAATCGGTCATAGTTACATTGCAATACATTTTATACATTAAGAACCAGTTCTCCTTCAACATACCCCTGCTCTTAGGCGTGATCAGTGGCCTCAACCAATTTGTACAGGAGTCTGTTTACTCAGAAATAGTGCCAAATATATCACCCTCTACAGACAATAATTTCCTTAGGTTCAATGAGAAAATCCAAAGAGGAATTATCCGTACAGCTTTTATATAAACACTTTGTATTATTACATTGTTTGGCCCCTTCTAGCGTCAACAAGGTACCAGCAATAGGTTCAACAATGTAAATGAGAAAGGTATAGTTTTGATTAATACACTGACCATCCAAAAATATAGCGTCCCAAGACTGTGTATCACGAAATATATGCAAAGCATGCCGACACAATTGTTTTGCATAGGACTAAATTATGCCTTCATCTAATTTTGTATGAAAATTAGGAAATCGAATGGTTATATTGATATGCAAATTCGTAAACTTTAACAAACATGTTATTCATAAATACAGGCAAGACTCCACCGTGTGTATCCATTTGACATAAATGACAATAGATATCTAAGATGCTCCCCATATCATATAAATCTCTCTATATAAATCACTCGCATTACAGATAAAAAGTTTGGACAATGGAAGCATGTATCTCACTGCCATTGGAGAAAGCACTTCTAGATGACGTGGTGGCTCAGAGTAAAGACTTCGCCAGTATACATGGAATAGTATCGAGAAGACGACAGACACCCCTCTCATCGGATATTGTGTGTTTGACACCACATACCTTAATACCATCTCCTATGCCGAAGAAATTGTTCTATAAAGCTTTATATGTGCAAAATGATTTCAATATGTTGATGCATGGTATGAGTCCGTGACTACAAATTTCTCAAGTCAGTCTTAGCAAGGTAAATTTGATAATTTTAAGAATGAAAAATACAGTTTCTTTCATAAGTGATCTTCTATTTCAGTGTCTTAATTTGTTTATAGTACTCGATTGTCTCTATTTTCACAAATGTGATTGCAAAGATGAAGGCACAAAATCGTTGTTTCTATGAAACAAGTTTGGATACCTTAGACTGTTTTAAATGTTATTATTCATACATTTATTGTTACTTTTGTATTTTTGGTTTACACTATGCATGATATACATCGTTGACTTGGATGACTATATTTCTATACAATAATCGAAAAAACGTTATATCTTGCTATGTAACACAAATGTCATGAATTCTGGGGTCAAAAACGTGACGAATAACAGTTCAAATAGTAATACATTGCATTGGATTTGCAGTTCAATTCCACATGATGAGTTCCTCAAGAGACTTTTTGATATTTACGAAAAGGTTTATATCCAAAATATACCATGTCAGGTACGTAATGATTTTTTTTAAATTTATATTGTACCATATAAAGTTCAATACAAAATAATTTATTGTTGTCATGTACTTGCAATTCTCCTGATGACCAATGAGCTTCATGTGTGAAAGTTATTTATCATAGTTACCGTACAACTACGCACTCGATCGATAAGTAAATATACAATAAGTGTGTGACCCACGAATAATCAGATGTTCATAAAAGTTCACGGTTACCTTTAATTAAAAATAATGATATACCTTACTATTGAAATGTTGCGACAGTCTATAATGTTGGGCATACTACGATGTGACTATGTGTTTGATTGTACTGACCACAAGGACATGTCAGTAAGGGGCATCAAATAAAACAAGTTAAAAACGTCAGCATGTCGCCTTATTTGGCTGGACTCGGAAGCCAATGCACTCGACTTCATAGGTGAGTATTTCCTACTTATGAACAAGTATAATAGTTTAATATAATTTATTTAATTAATCAGTTGAACATTCCAGCATTTTGGTTGAATACCTCAAGGTCTATTTATGAACTTTTCACTGATTTGACGGGGTTTGTAATGTGTTTGATATGTATTTTGGATGTAGCTGTGTTGTTGTCACAAACTTATATTTTCCTCGTGAAAATGTTGATGCCTTGTCTTGTAGGTTTAATCTGGCAAATCTTGGAAAACTGGAAATTGCTGACAATTTGCAAGAAAGTGGGGCTGTGGGTAATATGGCCAAAGCCTTTGTTGAAGCTTGGAGATTGTATGGTAATAAAAGGTATGTTTTTCTATACTTTTTTAATAGCAACAATGCATCAATGTATATGGACTGTTACCAACAGTATCAACATTATTTTGTAAAATCTTGTAGTGTATTTTGTAGTGTTTCACCACTGACTTGTTTGTATTATGTGACTATATGGCTGATATCATACGTGCTTGTTTAACAATGGTATTGATGTGCAGGTGAACAATTATGCATTTGTATCGATTTTCTGCAGGGCTGTCATTATGTTTTTCGCTAAACCAGGTTCATCTACTGTTACAGATCAAAGATGGTTGGAATATGAAATAAGAGATATTGATAAATCAATTCCGATTATAAAAGGAGGATTTCAAGACATTATTGAAAGAGCTAAACTGGAGGACAGTGAACTAATAATGTAAGCGTTAATTGAAATACATCCAGGTTTCGCAGCTTCTACAGCTGCTGACAAATATATGCAGTAGGTGTATGTGGATGCACATGCCTATGTTAAATATATATTAAAACAGTCATTTTCAAAAGACTAGGCTCATTTGTAAAAGCTATTTTGTGAGATCCACAAAAAGTATTATTAATTATTATTTACCTACTTTCCCCCATTAATCTATTTATTAATTGATTGATTATTTCTTTGTTATTATAATTAGCAATGCTGTTGTTTGTTTATGTATTATTTTATGTACTTTCCAGCAAACTCCGTGAAGACATTTGCCAACATAATATTGAAACAATTCATATAATCAGGTTCATATTAGCCCTAGTGATACAAGAAGATGCCATTAATTGCGAGAGTCTATTTTTTTATTTTTTCGAGTGTCTGACCCGAGAAAAAAATCATTAGTATGAAAATCACCATATTAACCCCGGAAAGAGTACAGACGTAAAACCCGCGGGCTAGCGGAGTGACAATGACGGAGATCGCAGTGCGCGTAATTCAAGGCTTGTACACGTTATTGTTCCTGGAAAAGCAATATTAGCAAATATTAAATGTGTGGAAGACTGTACAACATCAAAAAATAATAAAATAAAATTATTTTATAATCTATGATAATTCCATGAAGCGTTCTAAAGTAGACTCTAATTTAGGTTTTTTGTTCAGTCAAAAACAAGATTAGTTTCGTTGTAAATATCGGTAATAAATACGCGAGTTACTACAAAGTGATTGCAAGGTTCTTTCATTTGGTATCGCGCTCTGTATGTTGTTGTCAGTTGTTGACCTTGATCAAAACATAAAATGGAGTCAAAAGATATTGTGATTGATGCAGCTAAACTAATACACACATATCACAGTTGCTGATATGTCAGAACTGTTTTTCAATGTATTGATTATTGCGTTGGTTTAAATTGAGCAAAATGAGTGAAAACAGCTTTTCTGTCTACCAATGCTAATTATTCACAATCTGCAAACGACTCTGTACTACTTCGTTCCCTTTAGAAGGCAGTAATATTCAAGTTATTTGAATTTAATGTTTTGCTTGTATCAATTCACAAGAGACAACTATGAAGTCGCTGTAGTTTATTATAGGACTGGATATTTGCCTGAACATTACCCAACAGAGAAGGTTCGTTCTAAAGTTTGTGTGCATCTCAGTACCATTTTATTTCTCTTAATCAGTTATTTCAGAGTAAAACTTTTAATTTTTCCATCAAACTATTTTATTCCGATAATTACTTGCATGCTTATTTTCAACTGCACAATATAACAACAAAACTGGGTAATATTCACAACTCAGAGTAGATGCCAACCTGCTACTAACAATACCAGTTTAGACATTATACACATAAATACTGTTAGCTTGACCTTTGACCTAGAAATGTAAGTATTGAGGTTACAGAAGCAACATGTGTGTCAAGTTTTAAAAACAACGGCGATCTTTACCCGGTAGTTATATTGTGCATATACATACACATATATATTGATACTCACAAACTTGTTACATTGAGAATATGTGTACCATACATAAACACATAGTGTGACCGTGACCTTCTGTCATAAACATGCGCCGGGGTGTTGTGAGTCGCATGCGGTACACATCTACCATTTCTTAAGGCCCTGGCAATTACCTCTCCGATTTGTGGTTCAACTGGTTATACAATAAACTCATATGCCTATATACCCATGCCCTTTGACCTCAAAATGTAGCAAGTTTTTGGGAATGTGTGTGGCAATTATAATGGCATTCGCTATTTTCAAATGTAGTTAAACCCACACACACACCCAACCACCAACTAACCAACACTTTCCCCTACACATTGAGTGTTAACCTTTTCACCACCAGTTCCCGCTTTTCATTGGTCGAGAAAGTCCAGTGTTATAAAGGTTAATGTATGTTATGACTTATTGGATATCGCTTAGCTTGTATCGCGGCAACAAGACAAGAAATATTCCGAAATGACGTAATTGAAAAATTACAGAAATATTTCCCGGATGGAGACGAAGCTATAAAGCGGATTCGGGACAAATTTGCTGGAGTCTATGCTCTTGATGTGGTAAGGGAAACACAACCATTATTGGCCTATTATGTATTCCCATCCATCACCGAAACATATCAACTAACATTTGCCAGAATGTATACACCTGATATGGCAGGATAAAAATAACGTTATCACTAAAATATATTTAATTTCTCCAGTGAATGAAATTATCATCAAAATATGAAAATATTTTGTGATACTGTTCTGAAGTACAGATATTAATTAATTTAATTACAGGGCTGTGATGGATCAAACAATGTTCGGAAAGCTTTACGGAACCCGGACAAATATATTTTAAGACCAAGAAAGCTTGGAGGTAATCATAGAAAATTACATAACATAATGACTACATCTTGTAAGATGCCATGCCGTGTTACATACAGTTGTTGTAACTATACGAGTAGTTCTATTCTTTCATCGATAGGAAAGGATTTATTTGGAGATGACATAGTAAGGACACTAAATGAAATTGACGAAGACGAAAGAAGAACAGGGTACATCTTGATGGACAAAACACAACCGCTTGTAGTAAATAACTACACAGTGCAAAGTGGAAAAGACTCTGAAATGCGGGAAATGGTCAATGAAGTTGAAATATTTGGTGCTGTTTTAAGGTATAGACTGTGTTGAAAAAAAGTTAC